TCGTTAGCTTCAGAGGGCAGGACCGGAGATAAGAAGTCACATTTTAGCTCAATATAAGGGAAGACTTTTAAACGGTCAGAAAATGGAATGAGCTACCAAGGGAGACTGAGCTCCCTGGCCTGGAGCAGAAGCCAAAGCCACACAATGACTTATTGAGGATGCTCCTGAGAGGGAGTGGGACACCGGAAGATGAGTAAAAGAAAGTGAATCTATTGGGTAAGAAATGGTATTAATAATCTTGGAAGAGAGATTTTATCAAGAAGAGTTTTAAGAAGCAGAGAATGAAATAAAAGGTGAGTTCTACCTTCAAAACAGAGCAGACTGACAGCAAAAAGAGGTAAAGATCACACATTTGAAGAGATGACCAGCAAAAAAAAGACCTTCCTTCAAAATTTGACTCAAGACATCTCCAGAAAGTCTTACATGATTAATACCAATAGGCTTGAGTACTAGAATACGGTTTCTGAAGGCAAGCAAGGCACATTCTACCTCTGAGGATGATACTACAGAGATATATCTCCCTCTGGCTCGTAAAATAAAAAGAATATACTGTGGAATTAGACAAATTTGGTTTCATACAAAGACTCCACCCCATAGGACCTTTGGCAATTCTGTCTTGAGTTCTAGTATTTACTTTAAAAGGCAGTGATCTGGTTTTGAAGTCAAGTAGACTTCCTTAAGATTTCATGAGTGAACAATGGCATAATATTTAAAGCCAGTAATTGCAAAGCACAAAAGGCTTAAATGAAAAGTCAGACTAAGGTAGGTAGGGAAACTGACTTTTCAGAAAAAAACAACAACAACAAATCATCAAATTTTCATTTGCACCATTGGTGTTTTAGCTAGGTCAGTACAGCAGGAGAAAACGGACTTTCAAGAAGATAACCCAGAAAAGCAAACAGGTAATCTTTCCTCTAACTCTTGTGGAAATGTCAAGGTTCCCTTTAACTGAACAGATGTTTATTGAGCAGATACTGTGTGTATGTATTTGTGAGGACTTTGGCTCACAAGCAGCCTCTAAATCTGGAAGCAGTAGAGTCACGCCCATGTGTGCAGAAGTGAACACTGAGCTCCAACTGTGTACCCAGCTCTAAAAGAAATGTTTCATTTAAATACTAATCACTTGAAGGATTTTGTTTGTTTGTTTTTAAGTTAATGAAGTAAGGGAAGCTCAGAAAGAATAAGTAACTTGCCCAAGATTTAACAACTAGTTGGTGTTGGTGAAAGGACATGGTAGCAAGATCTCTAACTACAAAGCCTATGTTCTTCCTTCTACATCTAAGATTTACTGGGGAGGATTTTTGTACTAGATGATGAGGTATTAAAGCAGTGGTTTTCATATGTTAATTAGTGACACAATTTGTACCAATCCTTAGCAAAATGCAAAACATAAAAAGGATATGTATATAAAATTATAATACGCACATACAACACACACACACATCCAGATACAAATTTTTGGAGTAAGGTTGCTGACTGTCCATTTTTTGAAAAAGATTTGACCTTTATTGTGAGATTGTCTTTGTACTTTTTGACATTAAAATTTTCTTTGCTTTTATAAAATAATGGTAACAGCAGATGCTAGTTTTCTTTAAAAATAACCTTACTAATTAAGAAATAAAGTTCTAATCCATCAAAGTCTCTATTTCTGAGACCTGGAGCCGAAGGGCACAATGCATGGGATGAGTTTTAGCTCTGCTACCTACTGATGATCTCAGGCAAGGAACCCAACTTCTCTGAGTCTCAATTTTCTCATCTATAAGATGGGCTTGATACTAGTATCTATTTCATATGGTTAACACATAATTCATAAGTTCGTAAAATATATATGTTACTGAAGTGAACATATGTTTGTAAATTGTAAAGTATTATAGAAAGGTAGTGATTATCATAAGTTATTGGTTCCTGGAAAGGGCTTAACTATTTGTATTTCTTTAAATTTTCCTCCAAAAATAGAATTTTCAAAAATTCTTTAATATCTATACTTGGCTTTTATTATAACACATTTTTATTATAACTCACTATTTACATTTTAAAAATGGAGTTTTTCTCACTCTGATAACCATACCGCAGGAAGCCTCCTGGTATGAACATACTAACATATCATGAATGTTGTCCCTGTGGACTTGTTTGTATCTAGGGAAAAGAAGAAGGTGCTCCCAGAATTCAACATATGGCAAAGAAAAGTTATTACTTGAGAGAGAAACCAGTCAGAGTCATCATTATACTATGGATTGAATTAGCAATCTGTAAAGGAATCCACCCTAAGAGACAGTCTGCATGATGCTGAAGGGACCTGGAAAAGACCCCATCTCAGCCAAGGCAACCATATTGCCTTTCCAGTACAGGGATGGATGGAACTCCATGGGAAACATGGGACTAAAGAAACTTAACTTAGTCACTAGGTTATAATCTATCTCAAACAATGGTATATTATTTGGAAAATGAGACAAACATCAAGATTCTGGTTGGGTTTTATCTGAATTGTCAGAAGAAAAAACATCTAATTTGGTAGTCATAAGTATTCTGGTCATGAGGGAGCTGTATTATATTGGAATAGGAACAGTTTGTATAAACTGAATGAAACACCCCTTATCATTACTCAGTTTCATTTGTGGTGATCCTGAGTTTATCAAGCAACCTCATGATGTCCACTTGGTTGTGTGGGTACCTGATACCAGGTAGAGACAAGAGGCTGCTAGGCATTCGAGAGGAGTAGCTCCCTCGTAAATGAATAAACTGCCCATCCAGTTTAAGAATCCATCTCTTTTGAAATGGTAAATGGAAATTAGTTTTCTTTTTTTCTTTTTCTTTTCTTTTCTTTTCTTTTATTTATTTGACAGAGAGACAGCGAGAGAGGGAACATAAGCAGGTGGAGTGGGGAGGGAGAAGCTGGCTTCCCGCTGAGCAGGGAGCCCGATGTGGGGCTTGAACCCAGGACCCTGGGATCATGACCTGAGCTGAAGGCAGACACTTAATGACTGAGCCACCCAGGTGCCCCGGAAATTAGTTTTCTTAAAGCCCAATGATTTCTGACAGAACTGATGAAACTAATTTTCTAAACCTGCAAAGGTGAAGGTCAAAACTTCCCCTCTGAGGCCTAGCTTGCTTCTCTTCGACATCATTTTTTAATATACACTACTGCTTAGAAGGAAACACAGATTTTTAATTGCTAAATATGCTAATCCAACCCACACAGGAAGACAAATGCCACAATTCATTACTTTTAACGAATATTTACTGTACACAGAAATGAAGTTATATAGGACATGATATATCAGAAGTTCACAGTCTGATGGGAAATAAGACATATAAGCGTTCACACTGTATGAAATGTGCTTTGACAAAAAGTGTATGGAGCAACTTGTATTGACAACTTGTCTTGTATTGACGAGACAGTGTATGGAGCAACTAAATGCCTGGAGACCTTTGTGACTCCTTCACAGAGGAGGTGACATTTAAGCTTGGAGGTGGGTAAGAGTCGTCCACATAAAGCAAAAAGTACGCAGGGGCCATTCCCAGCCTGTGCAGACATGGGAGGCTCCAACAGCATGGCATGGAGGGAAACGGTGCAAGGTTTATACATCCTACTACGTAGAGTACTGGTAGATGGTGCACTTGGAGACAAAACTAAGGGCCAAACTGCCACATATTCTATACTATGATACTGGATTCTTCCTATAGGTAACAGAGAGCCATGGAAAATTTTAAACATAGGCAACCTGCCTGATCAGATCTGATTTTAGAAACAACTCTTCAGACACAAAATATACTGGTAATAGGGGTTACTTCTGCTTTTAAAATTTTGTACGTATTACATGTATTATCTCTCTCCTGCAAACACACACACACTCTCTCTCTCTCCCTCTTCCCATACACACAGAAGTAAAGGACTGGATATTGGGAATTCAATTATGAAGCTACTACAATTCCCCAAGCAGAAATGAAGAAAGTCCGAATTCAGGCGGTGGCAGAAGGAAATAGATGAAGAGATGAACGGATGCAACAGGCCTTGGATACTGCAGTGGTGACTGGGGGAGTTGTGATGCCATTAACAAACAGCAGGGACATAGGAATTAGAAGCAGGTCAAGTAAAATGAAGTCAAAATGAGGACAAGTTCAACTTTGGATATGTGAGATTTGAGGTGCCTATGGCACACTGAGATAGAGACCACTAGAAAAGTGGAAATAAGATCTAGTGTTGTAGACAATGTGCTAGCTGAAAAGAGATTTGGAGTCACTGTTATACTCAAAAGTATTTGAGACACAAAAAGATAAAACACAGAGTGTTAAACAAGAGGGATAAGGAAAAAAAGACCAAGGTCAAGATCCTGGGTAACCCAACAAGTAAGAGGCAAAGTAAAGAATAAGTGAAAGAAATGGAAAAAGCTGTCCTGAGGACAGGAAGAGAGCCAAGAACAAGTGATACCCCAGAAGCTGAAAGGAGAAGAAAAAAGTTTCAAGGAGAGGGGAGTTGTGCATAGATCCAAACACAGCAAAGTGGTTAAGAAGGATGAGTACTACAAAGTCATTCATTTTAGCAATTATGCATTGACTGATAATGTCAAGAACTGTTCAGTACAGCATAGCTCAAAATGTGGTCATGGAATGGACCTTTAGGAGAGGGCCTGGTACGTATGTCTATTATTCCAAATCTTTAAATATTACTGGGTTAGTGTAAATATAAGTTATCTTGCTTTTTTTCAATGGCTTGCTGAGTAGACTACTGATATTAAGAAGAAAGACTCGTATATAAATGAATCAAATTTGTCCTAGCAAAATAAGACATGGAGGTGAAAGAGAAAAAAAAAGAAGTGTGAAGAGCTTTTTCACATGCTAGCCTGTCTTCTACCTCACACCTGAGGGTCACCCTTGTGATTCTACAAATATAATGAGTGGCTATTAAAAGAAGGAAACTATTTAGAGTAAAGAAAAGCCTAAACTCAAAGCTTGAGAGTTGATTTTACCCCAGAAGCACAGCTCAGGTCAAATCAACTTACTTTCAAGTCTAAGGGCATCTGAGTCCCTCCCTGAATTCTCAACAGAGAGTACAGGCTCCTCCTCTGTTCCTGTCTCAGAGGGCTCTTCTTCGGCAGCATCCAGTGATTGTGAGTTGTCAAAATATTTCTGTTTGTCATGGCTGTTGTCCAGGGTTTTCTCATGACAATTACCTCAAGGACAAGAGACACAGAGACAGCATATTAGAAACAACTCTCTTAGGTAGTCCCAAGGCTCAAGGTCTTCAAGCAGCAGGAAGAGCAAAAAGATGATGGTGTCAGTTTTTCTCCTGCAGGGCATTCAAAACTCAGTGAGCTGGAGCACCACGAGCCAGATCTTTATTGTGACTCAAGATTTTGCACTGAAGTTCAAGTTTCACCTGCTAGACCAGCATAAGAACCAAGTGTCTGGGGGAAAAATTATGACAACAAAGATCAATTCCCAAGATCTCACTGCATTTACAATGAATGACTGTGAAATATTTCTTTGAAAGTCAGAAACATCACAAAAAAGTAAGTTTCCTTCTGTTTGTCTCTCAAGGGTGAGAAATGACCAATTAGTACCTGAATAAGTCTGGAGATGGATGAACTATAGCAGAGAAATATAATATCCATTCTCGAATTACAAAATACAATACCCATTCTCGAGGCCTCAAAATGAAAGATACATCAAAAGGCAAAGGATTATAAATTAAAAACCAAGGACTTAAAGAGGGATGGTGGTGGCCGAGAATCCATGTTTAAGACCGCAACATCACAAAGATGTGCATTATTCTTTTGGAAAACGAATTCTGTTCATGTAAAGATTTACTTTAGTGTAAAATGTCACATCTGGAATGTAACTGTTGCATTCTCTGTTACTTTCCGCTATGCACAGGGAGCCTGACCTCTTATTATAGTTTTGCCATTGAGTTGAAGAGCCTTGACCCTCTTAGGGATTGTGTGTTCATGTGGATAAAGAGCCACTGCCCTGCTCCACCTGATGGCCATTCTCTGGGTGGGGGAATGTGTTACTAGGTTGGTGTGTCTGATGTGGCAGTGATCTGCCAGCTGAGCAGGACTCCTCTTCCTCTTACATTTGATGTGCACTGTCACGAACCATGTATGTACAGTGGAAGCCTACACATCTCTCCTCTCATCAGACAATTCTTCCAGTAAGAGTATCTAAGTAACTTCCTTCCTTTACCAGAACCTTCAAACATGCTCTACAGGTTCATTTTAAATAAAAAATTGTCCCAAAGAGATGTATGTAGCCAATTAAGCTCTCTCTGCAGCAATGGAAGTACAAGAAGTCTCTTTCTGGATTTGAAGATTCCCTTTTAGATTTCATAATTGAGGAAAGCACTTCTTATGCCATTTCTGTTATTGTGCCAGGAAAACATAATGGACTCAAAACCTTTCCCAACTTATGGAGTTTGCAGTAAGGGAACTGCACGCTTAAGGAGTCACTTTTATTTTCCAGTTCTACACTCACACATCTGAGGCTACCATATCTAATAAGGTTACGTCAGAAACGGAATTTTTTTGTTTCAGAGGAGCTTTAGCTCTTAAGCAGCTCACAAGCAACTTGGGAAGACAGTAAATACAAGACAACAAACAATAATGAGGTAGCATACTGTGCCAACTAGGTGCTTCAGAGACTAAGCTTTGAGCAGGTAAACCCTAATTTTGAGGAAAAGGTAGTATAGGACTTAAAAACAGGGAATTACAAGGAAGGGAGCCAGATCTCCTGAGTGCTTTTTGTATTTTTTCTTCTACTTACCCCTCAAAAATGCCTTGTGAATTAACTGATTTTCATTGTACAGATAAGGAAACTGAGTCTCAGTGAAATCAAGTAACTTGCCTAAGGTGAAGCAATAAGTGGTAGATCTGAGATTTCAATCAGTTCTATCCTACTAGAAGGCCTCTTGGCTTTCCAACAGTCAATGCCACCTCTTTAGAAGAAATGAGAAGGTGGCACCGTACGCAGGAAGGAATTATGTGTTGAGCAAAGCAACAGGCGCAGGAGTTCTCGTTTGTGTTTGGGAAACGATGAGAACCAGTTTGAGAGATGGAAGGTTGTGTGGTGGGCTCTGTGTGCACCCATCAAAGGTTGACAGGAAAGATGCCATGATCAATGACAGTCATTCCTTCTTTAAATTCCTCTGTGAGAGAACAGAAGTAGAGGATCAGTTTCTGCTTCTGTCTTTACCATCGAGTATGTGCAGGTAAGTATGGAGAAGCTAAGCATAAGAGCATTAGAATAAAGTAGTGACAAGAAACAATTGTACACACCCAACTAACTAAAATTGACTATGAAGAACATCACAATTCCTAGTGACAGCTCTTAACTGGGATATAAATAAGCATGACGATTAAAGACACATAGAAAATAATGATGACAAAGATGTTGATGATTTTCAAACATACGTTATTCCTAGTGACTGTTCTCTGCTTTCAGCTTTGGTGAGTTTGCCTCTAAAGCATTCTGCACCTGGACACAGGCTGAGAGAAACAATATTACAAAAGCAGAGGACAAACCTGTAACACTGGGACCCAGTAAAATTCTGTGTTTTCTGCAATTGACTTCCTCCTCCAACCTCTGCCTCTCTGATTTTTATCTCCCACTCTCTTCCCATTATGAAAATTTAATTGGTTTCATCTTATTAAAATGTCTGCAATATTTAAAAATGCCTCATAGGTAATTTATAAGATATGATGTGCATAAGATCCTGAAGCTAAAATTAGTCCTACATGACCTCAAACCCAGACGCCTTCTTGAAGGAAGCCTTGTGCATTCTAAGAATGTCTTGTCCTCCAACTCAGGAAATTGGGGCCAACATCTCCGAGAGGGAGGGCAGAAGAGGGGATTAGGGAGAATTGGGAATAAAAAGGAATAAGAAGTTTATGTTATAGTATTTGTTCCAAGTAGGCAGAACCAAAATGATCAGGTAAAAGCTATATGCTTTAAGGATTCACTTTTTCAAGTTAGAACTGTTAATATTAATTTCCTTAGGCTGACAGTTAAAGACAGACTGGTTCAGTGTTCTGTTGTGATTTGCATAATTATCTAGACTAATAATAAAAAGCCAAATTGCCTATTTTTTAAATTGCTCCTTCCGGTTGTCTGAAGGAGAACTGAAACACTTCAGAAAGAAGTAAAGTTTCTGTTCTTTGGGCTGCAGTATAGTTCTACTCTAACTCAAAGGGGAACTAAACAAAGTTGCCTATATGGAAAAATTGTCACTTGTCTTCCCAGCAGAGGTGGAGATGATGTCCTCATTAAAGAAACACAGGAAAATGTTGGCGAAAGAAAAATGGAAAGATACCTAAAAAGTAACAAGTCATCTTCCATGCATATGACTATTATTTTTTGCTGATGCAGAAATGAGATTTTGTGTCTTAGACTAACCTTGTGAGGTAGGATTTCTTTCTATCTTTCTTTTTTTCTAAGTAACTACATGATTTAAATGAAATGCTTTGGATAACAAGGTCCCAAGTGAAAAAGGAAGCACTTTTCTGTGCTATACTGCTGTGCTATATATACTTGCTTGCAAAGCATTTAGCATCTAATTCAAATCCTGATAGTTCAGTTTTTCTTGGAAGTAGGCAACTACACAGCAATACCAACTAAGCATAAAACTCCAGGTAGGGTATTTCTGATTCTGGAATAGCTATGCGATCTTAGACATATCAACATCCTTTTCTGTGGCTAGAGTATCGTCTGCATAAACTGAATTATTAATAGTAACCTATCCTACAAGGATGTTCTGGAAAACAACTAAATATTTAATATATCGTGTCAAAGCATTAAGTCTCCTAAGGCAAAGGCACAATTTATCCTATGGCTAAACAGGTTTTCAGAGTAAACTAAGTTCTCAGGAACGCCTATCATTACTAAGGCTGAGGAAATCTTCTATCTTCTCATAATTCTGTTTACAGAGGGCCCAGAAGAATACTTATTTTCTAGAATTGGGTAACCACTTACTCTTTAAAAAACATGCTTACCTTCTGAATCTTTTAAGTTGGCAAGCCATTCCTGGCTGGGTACTTTTAGGACCCTTTAGGATTAGTTATAACAAAGAAATGCCACAAATAAATCGAGAGGAATCAGCTTTGAAAGAGCCACATAACTAGAGCTAGTCGAGAAGAACTAATAAAGGCTCATGTAGTTCTGTTAGCCTAGAGCATCGTGGCTAAGAGCTCAGATGAGCCAGCCTAAACGAGTTCCAATCCTGTTTCTACTACTTTCGAGCTGCACACAGCAGGGCAAGTTACTTTTACTCTTTTTGTGTATCAGTTTTTTCATCTGTAAATGGAGCTTCATGGTAGTGCCCACCTCACAGAGTTGCTAAGATTCAATTTAAGAAGTGAGACCATGGCCTAGCACATGGTGAGCTATTACTGTTCTCTCTGAAAAGGTGCAAAGGAATAAATTATCCCAACGTCATCTCTTCCACCAAGGCCTTCCAGCTATAGCCCAACTCAATCTCTGTATGAGCCACTGGCTCTAGAAGTCATCAGGGGATCTGCCTCATTTCAGTGCCAATGTATGTGTGTGCGTGTGTGCGCGTGGGTGCGTGTGTAAGAGATGATGAAGGCAGCACAGAGTTCACTTCTACTGGGCTTTTAGAAGAAAACAACAACTAATTCAGATTCAACTGCTTGGCATATCTGAATCCTAAAATACTTAGCACATTTAGAAATTTGCCTCAGTCTGCTCTATGTTCTCTGAATTTATAGCCTTACAATATGAAAAGAGACCACAGATCTGCTGTTCAGTTAAATCAACACTTACCTCTCTGCACCCCACAATGTGTGTTATATTGTGACATATTAAAGGTTGGCACCAGTCTTCTTCCAAATCTTTCTTGCTTGAACATATTTTCCCCCACGCAACAAATAATGTAATACTCCTATGCTTCCTATTATATAATGACTTTTTCCTAAGGCATAAATAACAAACTGATTTATAATAGGAACTAGAATTTGAATTTGAATTTTATGTTGCTGAAGGCAAAGTAACAGATGTTAGAAAAATGGCCTTTCTGAACAGTGGAATATTCTAAAGATATCCTTACTATCCCTGTTCTAACCAGATTATATTATACTCTAAGGTCTCCTTTCTTATGCCTATAAGAAAAGTTACCTTACAGGAGGCATTCTGGTACATTCAACTAAATATAAGGTACCTG